CAAGAGCACCCGGAGGTGTTCGGGAGGCAGGGTGACTACAGCTGACGTGGGGAGGGCTGTGAGAGCATCAACCTGCGTTTGCAGTTGGCTAACCACAAACAGACAGAACACGACTCAAGGTGCACCGCATCGTGAACATGTGAAAGATCGCGATTAGCCACACCATCATAACCAGCATTGCAATAGGCAGAGTAGTCGGGTCAACGTAGCCCCCACTTACAGCACTTATGGCCTCAGCAACGGTTGTCACGACCGACTTCCCTCCGATCTCCATGGCTTCTGCGTACAAAGTTGCAGAACACGCTATGGATCAAGGACAGAGATGATACTTGTTGTCCCGATCAAACGGCTGCAGAGATTGCTTGATTGGGTTCAGGGTTTAGGGGTTGAGGGTTTAACTACATATTAGCGGGGGCACATGCCGCTCAATCTTAGGAGGGCAAACACATTAGCCAGAACACCGCTGTCGATAGGCTCCTCTGTGGCTGTGTCCCCAAACTTTGGGTGGTCTGTCGTGGTCGTGTTCGAGGAATGCCAGTCCGAGAAAGACGAAGTGGTCCGGCGTATGGATGGTGAAACGGCTCATCATGCAGGATACATGGCCGCTACGTCTCCAATCTTCACCTCGACGAATCTTGGTTTTGCCATCGTTGCCAGTCTGCTCAAAAAAAAACCACAGTCGACGTCCTCCCAATCGATGGAGGTACACTAAAATCGTTTTCGATGCACTGCTGCTCCATCCGGAGCATCGATGATGACGGGATGCAAACGGCTGGATGGTACGACGTTTTCGATGACCGCTTCGGTGGGAGTCCCGCGAAATCATTATTTGTCGGAGGGAATGGTGATTCCCAACATGTTCCGATCTCCGTCGGTGCCCGGCGGGGCCGTAGTCATTCATTCTAGATTTTAGAGAAGTCCGGACACGGCGGCCCTGCCGTGATCACCACGATGAACTGCCAGCAAGGATGCGCCCGGACATCTTTTGGGATCGGCTTCAATTGCTCGGGCGAGTGTCGGACGGGGCCAGTCAGCGCATGCCAGGTCACATCATTGCTGGAGGCGAGCTCGGCCGCCGTGAGCAGTTGGCGAGCTCGGGACACTTCACTCGGACCTGCTGAGCTCCCCTTGCGCACCACAGGTGCGCCGCGGCGAGGAGTCGCGACGAGCAGCCTCCAAGAGTGCCGTCCACTGGCCGCGCTGGAACGCAGTTGCTCGCGACAGACTCTCGGCCCGCTCTTGGCCCCCTAGCTCAGTGGGTTGTTTTCCCACACATCTTTATAAAGCAAGTAAGATCCGCAGCTGGTGGTGGACACAGCATGCTAGGCGGCCTCGGTGAGGAGTTCGTGCAACTCGTGCTCTGGGCTTCTCCGAGCTCGGCAGCGGGGAGGAGCTAGAGGAAAGAGGCCGCAAAAGCGCGCTGAGTTGCGACAGCCAAGAGCCCGGACCAGTGCGCAACCCAGCCGGGTTGTACGCGCAAAGGGCAATCGCGGGGAGAGGACACCCGGCGCGGAAGCGCCTTGCCATTCATCCGTGGAGTCGCGCAAGCGGCCCGATGATGCGGTCAGCAAGGCCAACTTGCGTCATCGAGACCAGTACGAATTTGTGGTCGATGTGGGTTCATGATAATTTCGAAGACCGCAGTTGCATAGGTTGCACAACGATCCAACAGCGGAATCAGAACTCCATGATCGCTCTTGGCCGTACATCGCTGCAGCCACAACCCTCTGTAAAAAAATTAGGACACGTGCAATTTGAGGTGGTCAACCCCAAGCATCACATGCACAACCAAGCGGAATGAGTAAAAAAACGACTCCACATGCAGGCCCTTCGACCGATTTGGTGGCTCCACGAGCCATGTACTTCTGTTTCGGCCTCTGGCGGGACACCTCTCCACACATCCTGTTGAAGCATGACAAGGGCATCCAGCCAAAACCCAACCAGCTTTGCTACGTCCCTACGTCCAACGTCCTCAGAGTCCCTTGCTTGCCTTTCCAAGTCCGCTCTGGGACAGCACGGAGCTCTCCGTGAAGCTGCCGCGTCCCTTCATCTGTCCGAGAGCTTGCTAGTATTCTTGGACAATCTGCATGTCTTGACTGAGCGGGACCGGGCACGTGCCGCCTCGAGATTGTGGTCGAGATGGTGCAGGGGGAATGCGGCATCGCTTCCAATGAAGGCAAAAGACGCGCATACAGCTATGCCAGTGACTGGCGCGCCGCGGCCGCCTCGGTCCGGGCACCGCGCTGGCGGGCTGTGCTCCCGGTCTTCGTGCAGCAAGCTGTGACCAGCACGGCACTGGGGTCAGCTTGGCCCCCACCGCCCCACGCGAGTCAAAGCCAAGGCCCGGAGCTCGGCCGGAGCCTCGACCTCGCAAAGGCCGGAAAATGGGTGCGAAAATAAAGGGCTCTTAGAAAATGGGTGCGAAAATAAAGGGCTCTTAGAAACAGTTGTGTAGATCCACAGACAGCCGTGTACAGGCAGGCACATTGAAGCCGCGTGAAAGGCAATCGGCGATGTTGGTGAGGCGAAATGCTAGGAATGCTGGTATGCATAAATCATCATGGATGTGATGTGCATACACATCATGGATGTGATGTATGCTTTCTTGCACATGGTGTTGTGCGGTCTGTCTAGATGCTCCACAAGACGCTTTATTTTCTGGCTTCCCGGGCAGATTAGGTAGGGTGCAAGTGGTGAGGGAAGTGCCACCATCCAAGCGGCGGCCTCCAGGCCTTCGTTTTCTTTGTCATGCTGGGATTGGGGCTGGTGGCTGTCATGTTTCGGTTGGCGGACGCCTATTGTTGCCGATGACAGGCTCTAGGGCAGCGCCGCGCCACAACCATGGCGAAGCGTTGCAGCACCAGAGCTGTAATTCAAATATTTCTGACAGGCGCGCCCGTCGGCCCCGCAATCAAATCCAGGTGTTGTTGTGGGATCAGCTTGCAATAGCTTGCACAGGCTTGCCCTCGCTTACTACATTACAATAATATGCATAATACGATTTGTCCTAGTTGCAAGAGGGGGTTGAGCACATGTTGTGTTCGACCATGCCAGGTATGTGCTTGGCGACAGCAATCACCGCATTCACGTTCGCGTTCGTGTTCGAGCAGTTCATGGATCAGATGCCAGGAACATAGTACTTCAGCACACGGCTGGGTTTCCGAGACTTGTGGGATCGCGAGCGGGGGCCGTCTGGCAGATCTTCCAAGTGCGGCAGGGAATGTCGTTCGAGGTTTTGGTGGAATGAAGCGTTGGCAAGCTCGACTCACGAGGTAAGCAACTTGTACACCCAGTGTACACCTATGGAGCCTACACAAGCGGCACCCGCTGGCTTGCACAAATTCGCAATGAAACAAGAAGACAGCGTGAAACCGTTGCTCGGGGGTGGCTTCCTGAAATTTAGTCTGGGTTGTTATGTGAGTCGCAACTGCGCCGAGCCAACCTAACCGACAAAAAACAGAGATTGCCATGAAAGTCAACATGACGCCGTGTCTGTTTAAGCGTTTCCTTCGCAATCGATTTGCGATTGTCCGACTGCTGAGGACAGAGAACTATCGTGGTGACCTTCGCTCTGAGAACTTGCCTTGCATAAGTAACTCGGCTGCAGGTAAGCCCGGTGCGAGTTCCGTCAGGCTACAATCCTGTTTACGTGGAAACAAAAGATCAAAAGTCATTGGACGAGCATTGGTGTTACCTAGTCCGGGAACTGCTTTCATCTTGCGGGCCGTGGTGTGACGATCCGTGCGTCAAGCCGGTAGCACAGTGCTATGATGTGCTCGTGCTAGAGCCGCGTTACGGCGTCAGTCGTTAAAATTCCGTTAAAACCCGGTCAGGCCAAAATCGGATGTTAAGCTTCGGTAGGTGTGCTACTTTGATCTACCTTGTGGGTAGATGGTATAGGTGTCCTTTTCCAAGTGCTGACTGTTGCGTTTGCAAAGGATCTGAATCCTGACCTCGTTTTTGCCAACTCAGGAAGCACTTTGGATTTGTGCCCCAATGCGATCACGGACAAATGCTGCTGCCTCAGCCTTTCGGCGTTCTGCATCGCTGACGGACCATAGCCTGCTCGCGCGTGTTTGTTGCTGGTGTAATGTCACGGTATGCTATGCCAGTAAAGAGTTTGTAGGCCTATTGCGTGATTTGGAAGCAGCTGTAGAACGGCACGTCAGAATAAGTTTCCGTGTGCGAAGGCTGGGATCGCTGCTGCCCTCCTGGCTATTTCTGCCGCGGTCTTGGCACTTGACAGCTTTTGTTATGGAGTATCTTCCGCAGAATTTCATGCAAGTGGTACGCCTTGCCATGATTCGCGCGGGAAGTAGAGTTATTTTTGGGAGGAAGTTTTGCTCCTGGGATGCCCACAGCACGTCGGCCTGCCCCGCAAACAAATCAGAAGCCTCGAAGAGCCCCGAACAAACATGTACCTTGTTGAATCTCGGGCCTTTCAGCCTATGCAAGACCTCAGACAATGACATGTTTTTTCTGTTGGGAGGCTCGCGTTCGCCCATCGTCGGGCTGTATTGCCAGCATGGCCTCACTTCTTGCCGCATGCTTACAATGAACCAGTCTTCCGCTGGATGGTTGCGAAGCAGTTCCTGGCTGGGTTGGTGCCCTAAGCTCCCGAACTAGACTCGCATGCCCACCCATATGCCTGATCGGTCTAGGACCCTTCTTTCCCATATGTAGGATTCCGGCCAGCAGCGTGCGGACGCTTGCGGTCATGTGTGGGGCCTGACCAGTTCTGATCGAAGCCCCGAGCCCTCAACTCCCATGCTGGGGTTTGGCAAAATGGTGCTGTTCAGGTTTGCCTCTGTGGTGCAAGAGTCTAAACCATGAGCGTGGTGACGTTTTAACTTAAAGCTTACGGAGGTGAGGACTTCAATTGGTGCCGCGACTTTGCAGACATCCCGCGGACCTGCGCAACCTCCGTCGGGCACTTCTTTTCTTTGCTTGGAAAGCACGGGCATGCTTTGCAATTTTCGTTGGTGGCCTAGAATCCGTTAGAATGGTTGTCCCGCTGAATTTACATCTACGTCCCTAGATTTGTAAGGGTTCTTTTCGGGAATGGCCGCCAATGTGTAAGCAGGTCTGAGGTACAATGTTCAACCATTCATTCGCAGCTTCGGGGTAGGATGTGTGTGGGAAGTGAGGGTTTTGGGCAACAGGGCACCCTTCGCGAGGAGGGCATATTCGGGTCAAGGCATAGATAGAGCTTCATCAATGTGAGCTTTTTTTTTGGGCGACTACTTGCCTTGTGTCGGCGTGGTTGTCCGTGTCAAGAACTGCTGGCCTACTCATATTGACATGATGCTGTTCGTGGCGGCTCGGGTAGTGTGGCAGCGGGTGTCGTGCCGGGCAGCTGGGCTTAGCCTATGTGTTGCAGGTCTGCAAAACCAACCAGATGGTGACGCGGGTGACATCGTGGTCCTACATCTTAGTGCTTTGCTCAGCTGAGGGGTTAGCAGAGGAACGGTCCAGCAACACTTGCGCCGCCTGGAACGTCAAGGCTGCTATTGGCATCTTCCTAGACCTGGTTGACATCATCACCATCTTTACACTGCCATGCCCCGAGCTCTTTGCGCTTTCAGGCCTTCGTGGCAGAAGCCGGCATACAGCTTTTTTGCATGAAGGCCAGATGCGGTGGTGTTCAAGGCAGCGACCAACGTCTTCTCCAGCCTCGTAAAGTGGTTGGCGTTCGGTCTCGTAGTGCTTGGCTTAGAGAATGCAGCTTTGCCATGTCATAGCGAGGAAGGATCCGAAGTGCAGCTACCAGCAGCACGGCTCACCGAACTGCACTGTTGCCCCTCTGCTCTCTCAACCCTTGAGGTTGGTGCGGGCACGCAGGGTTTCATGGCAGAGCTCGAAATGGCACGCCACCCAGTGTTGCCTTCAAGATAGCCCGGCAAGTGTGACATTCAGTTTGTTGCAAGCCAGATAAACAAAGCTTCCTGCCCGACATTGCCACAGTCTTCAAGCATGACTCATTTAGATCTAGTGCGCAGGGTAGATGTTTCAACGGCGGTGGCATGCAGCTGGTGGCAGATGTCCGGGTCCCAGGTCGTTCATGGCCGAAGCGGTTGCCAGCAACTGGTAACGTTTTTGTACTTGCAGTACATACTGTGCCCCGAAGCCTTCTTCTCGCCACTTTGACACGATCTTTGGACAAGATGTGCCCTTTCGGTGGCATCTGGCAGTGTCGAAGCTAAGGTTGACTTGGTTGCCACTTTAATTCGATTTGAGAGGCTCCACTTGTGAACTTGATGACCTCGCTTGATATTTTTCGTGTAGTGACACTATGTGACCATACATGCTAAACCCGAGAGGGCGAGAGAAAACACTCAGGCCCCAAAGCAGAAAGCTTAAACCCTTGGCTCTAGACCCTCTCAAGATTGTAGCATTGTAGCAGCTCAGAATCAGCACTCTAAAATCAAGACCCGGAACCTCCAGCGATTCATCAGAACAGGCCTGAAAAGAACAACACTTCCCAGGCTGGGGGCCTCTTTGTCTCCTACGCCATCGTGCAAGTTGTGTCGGGCCCTTGAGCGTGTGAGCTGTGTGGCCAAGGGTTTTGGGGCACGGGCTCTCGGCGTTTTGTGTTCATGGATTATGGGTTGAGGTGTTTTTTTCGAAAGAAAGGAACGAAGACGATTCTTCTGCAGGCTTCGGGGCAGAGGGTTGGGAGAGACCCCCGCATTCAAGCAACGAAAGAGTGTAAGAGTGCAAGACGTCAAGCCTCACACAGCGCACCCATGCCCATTGTCCTGAGCACAAAGCAAGGCTAGTAGCGAGACTGTGCTGCTCTTGGGGACTTTTGCTTTGTTTGGCTTCTTTTACAGAGATCTCGCAAAACTAAACTTTGGAGAGAAGCGCAGAACCTGAACTTGGCGCCCCGGCCGAGACTTGAAATCAGACGTGCGCAACGCTCAGCCGGATTTCAGGAGCGCCACTCTGAGCCTCGTCCTCGCGCCCTTCTCCGCCTACTTTGGCGGGCCACTGGGTGGAAGGTTTTTTCACTAGAGAGATTGGGTTTAATGTGTATCCGACTTGATGAGCTTCCTAGCGCTTCCCTCGTAGCGGAGTTGCTCCCAGAAGTGGGTTGCCTTCGCCACCTCCATAAGATGAAAGTGCCTTGCAAAACCATGGGCCCTCCGTTGCGCCTAGGAAACTGCAAGGAGTCAGAACCTCAGTTTCACAGGGATGGTCTTGTGTTGGGCTTTGCCTGCCGTTAAAGCCACGGTGCACTTAAACCTCAATCGCTCGTTCAAGCCTCTTTCGCCATTTTTCTCAGCCAAGCCCGCAAGCAAAGCTCTTTGAATGTGCCCGCTGGCCCAGGGGGAAGTGCCTTATGTGAAGTGATTCCTCGAAGAGGTCACTGATCGCCATGTTTCAGGTTCCTGCTCTCATGGGCCTCGGAATTGTTTTTTTTCAATGGATCGACAAGGGACCGAAGCCCACTCGCAGGTTGCAGGTTTCAGTTGCGAAGCGATTCTAATGCGGCTTTCTCTTTGAATGTCTTCTGCTTTGCCTTTCCATCACTCGACCTGCCTTTTTTGGTCTATCGGGTTGGGCGTCGTTTCATGCCGGGCATGTGCGTCCTTTGAGGTTTTGGAAACTTTGGACGGCTTTTGCAGGTTCGCATTGTTACCTTAAAGCGCCCATGTTTGCAGCATGACGTTTCACAATTCGGGCGATGATGAGAAGAAGTGACGTCCAGCCGACTCCTTCGTGATGCTTGAAGTGAGGACAGTGAAGACCGTTCGCCAGTATTTCTTTACCCCGTCAGGTCCAAGAAAAAAAAGATCCCAAATCGTAAACGCCTGGCTCATGAGTCGTTGAAGATGCTTCACTGGGATCATTGCCTCGTGTAGCTCTGCCGCAAGTAGCGCCTGCTTGTGCCATCGGGTCCGTGGCACCGAGGAGGGCAGTCCAGTCCACTGGCCCTCGAAGTAAAGTCCGCAAGGAACTTGGGATTCCTCACTTTTCACATCTCCACCCTGAACGCAACACGCATACCATAGGCATACCTGACTGATGTCTTTCAGCCCGGCCACGCGGTTGCGCAAGAAGGCATGTTGGACAGCAAGAGCTCCGTGGATCCCACGGCGTGGACGTGAGGTCATCTCTGCCGCGTAGGCCTTCCGGTAGCTACTCCAAGCCCCAAGCCCTTGTCACACCGTGACACCCCCGCAACCTACGTGTGAGGATGTTGGCGGTCGCTCCAGATCAGCACTCAACTTCCTACACTCGCACAACTTCAATTTCCAGACCACGGATGTCGTCAAAGATTCGTGAACAGTCTGGGCGGGGGAGATGCCCTGATCTGCAGCGGATCTTCGCCAGCTGTGCGAAGAGCCGAGGATGCACATGGCATCCATGCACTACTAGGGTTCCCGGCAGGTGGGGATGCTATTTGGTTTGGTTGGCGATTGATTTAGCTTCTTTTACGACGGCCACCACTGCTGCTTGTGCACCGGCGGCAGTAGTAGTAGGAGTAGGAGAGGGGTATGTAGGAGTTAGGAGTAAGAGTAGGAGTAGAGCAGGAGTAGGAGTAGGAGTAGGCGTCGTCGTCCTCGTCCTCGTCGTGGTCTTTGTGATGGTGGTGGTGGTGCTGGTTGTCTTCGTCTTTGTAGTCGTCGACGTCGTAGTGACGAATAGCTTGTAAGTAGCGCAGGCACTCGCTGGTACTACAACAACTGTGCTCGTAGTTTTGGTGTATTGTTTGTTTTCTGTCACATAATCTGTTTGCAGTGTCGCATTTGCTTGATTCTTGTAAGGCCAAGATGTTTATGGTAGTTGCATATTGCCAGACTCCATTCCTGGCACCCTGAAGGTCTCGATCGCAGAAGTTTCACAGCAGTAGCAGGGAGAAAGAGCTGGATCGATCAATCTAGAGTTGGGTTGAAAGCTCCTCAACAACCTCGGAGCCATGCTTCTCTTCCTCATGTCCAGTTGCTGTTGGCACTCGGGTCTTGTTCTGGGACAGGGGCTCGCAGCTCAAGGTTGCAGGTTTGTGGTTGTAATATGTTACGAAGCGCTTGGAACCTCAAGCGGCTTGCAGGAGGATCAGAACTCAGAAGACATGGAGTGTCATAGTCCTGGCTCAAGCACTTTCAAGCTGTCCTTGGCTACTTGCTGTCCTCACAGGAGCCGAGGTCCAAAGTCTGGGTTTTCGCCACCCACTCGGTGAGACATCTCTCAGCAACTTAAGCGCCTTATACATGGGTAAAGATGTAGTCTTGTTATGTCTTGTTCACCCACTACTGTCAAAACAAACGTTTCCTCCGACCGAACCACAGCCCTCGAGATCACGTCATTGGGGGTTTGCATGACGTGAAAAGGAGTGTTCACAGGCGCATTTAGCTCGCAGATCTTGCAATGATGGCCCACGAGAGGTGGTCGTCCGGAACCTCCCAAGGCCTTGTCGCAAAAGCATATCATGTACTGGCCACCGAAAAGTAGTACCTGCCCTAGCGGCAGTTCTGTTCCTAGCCGGATTCGCAGCCATAGAAGTAGTGGTAGTAGTCGAGTCAAGCGGTCCTCGTAGGCAGCAGCAGCAGCAGTCGCAGGAGCAGCAGCAGCAGTAGAATTAGAAGGAGTGGTGGTGGTGGTGGTCGTCGTCGTCGCCGGTGTCGTATCAGCAGGAGTGGTGGCGTGTTGTGGCATGACGTGGTGAGAGCGGAGTGAGGTGGAGGAGTGGAGTGGAGTGTAGTAGTTGTAGTAGCTGCAGTGGTAGTGCTGGCAGTGGTAGTTGTCGTCATAGTAGTCGTTGTCGTCGTCGTCGTCGTCGTAGTCGCAGTCGCAGTCGCAGTCGTAGTAGTAGTAG